TATTAGTGTGAGCAGGATTAATGTTCCTCCCGAGAGCATGTTGAATCTTAATCAGGAGAAATACCACAATTTCTAAAAAAAAAAAATTGGCCCACGCTGGCAAAAAAAAAAATACATATCACACATATTTTGTGGCCGGAAATATTCGCTTGACATCAATACAGGAGGTGTGTGTGTGTGTGTGTGTGTGTGTGTGTGTGTATTTGTTTGCTGGCTCACATGGTTTTTTTCTAAACCGCTCGCTGCAATCAACAAACAGGATGTGATATGCGTCCAGTTCCCGTTACAACCTCTATGACACCAGGGAACTTTCCTTCACCTAAAAAGGTTTCACAAAATCCATTAAAAAAGTCACAGATATCACTTTCATCTGTATTTTATTCTTTTACAACGCATAAAAAAAATATATCCATGGTTAATATGGATTACAATGAAATACATTCAAGTTTGAATATAGTTTGCCCATAGGGCTTACATTTATCTCATAAGCAAAGCATTTTCTTGGCTTACAAGTCTCCAAATGGAACGGGTGTCCTCCACAATCACTGTGATCAGGATTTAAGAACTTTGTTTGCTGGCAGGTTTTTTACTCCTCGTTGCTCATAGTGCTGACTTGCACCTTTTCTGAAATGTTAAGCTCCCCAAGTTCAAAACTAAACAAAATCAGTGGTATAAAGTCACATTGACCCCAAAAGGTATTGCACATCAAGAAAAATGTAGTGGCATCTACAACAAAATACATTTCCACAGTAGTATAAATATAGGTACATAAATAAAGCATAAAATAAATACACAAACTGCAAAAAAAAAAAAGATGCAGAGTACTGGGTTGACTTGGAGATTTTAACAGATTGAGGTGACATGAAGGTTTCACTTTAACGTCCTGCAAATGCTCTTCGTCTTGTATGTTCAGTGCAAAAAAAAAAAAAAAAACCCTACCACAACACCTAACAGGTACCACCACCAGCACTTTTTCACGTTCCTGAGCTAAATGGGACAGTTCACTGGCTTTCCAATTTGTGGGTAACAAACCCGCAGGTCAGGGTCCTTTCCTCTTCCGGAGAACTGCTGCTGCAAAGCATCACTCTACGAGAAACATTCCAAAACCTGACTTGTTAACGTCCAGCCTCAAGTTGTTCTGTTTGCTCTGAATGGTCATTTGTACGTTTAGTTCCTTGCCATCTAACCGCTCCACAGCCCAGCACTTTCTGCTCAGTGGTGTTAAATGTATATCTTGGGTCAGCTCCAAATCGCAGGTTAGTTTGGTGTTGGACACCTCCAGCTGGAGGAGATCTGGCTTACAGTGGTGGGTGCAACTGACAGTGACCTGGATGTACATAAAGTACACCCCCTCCTTTGCTGGCTTCAAGGATTGCTTTAACTGGTCATACTGGAAGTTGCTTCCGACAGATGTCCCTTCCCCAGATTTGACCAACTCCAAAGGTGTTGTGACGTTGTCTGGTGATGCTAAAAGAGGAGAAAAACACATTAATACTTAGAACATCAGGGGCATTTTATTCCTACTGTCATCTAAGAAAAAGCATTTCTTTTATAAAATTCAAAATTTAAAAAATAAAAACATCTGTACAGACGAGGGAACATGTAAGTATGAGTATGATGTCACAATATCCTTTTTAATCTTATTCGTTAGACATTAAAATTTTAACACATAAGTTTAATATTTCCTCCTATATCCCATGGTGAAATTCGTAAATTTTTTTTTCTCTGGCTCTCAAATAATTCCCTAAAATTTGATTGGATAACCTGCAGAGCAGTTTAACTGCATAGCATTCACATTGGTCCCACCCAGTCTTCAAATATAGGTCGAAGATATGTAGCCACAGCACCCTAACTAATGCTGGTTGCTTTAGACTTTAATATGACCAAAGAAGTACTACAAGTAAATACATATAAAAATGCCCTAAACATATATATCTTTGTTAAACTAATTGTATCCATTCTTTATGCTTCATATTTATCATGGGGAAGGACCTTTTTTTTTGTTTTCTTAATAGTTTTAAGTATTTATAACAGTTTTAGTCAAATTGCCATAGGTAAAAACATTAATTGCAGTTTTAGTCACAGTATTAGGAGATGACATGCAGTACAGCATCTAATTGCAAATCGCAAATACATTTACATGCAGTTATCTATGATATATATACATAAATATGCACACAGATACATGCACATATATTGATATACTCTTCATTTAGACCTCAAGCTTTTTAGAGTGTTTGCATCTGAATGCGTCATTTTTTCTTAAGTGCATTTTTCTTAAATTGAGGAGATAAATTAGACACTTTGCCAATGGAATAAGATCATTTACATTGAAAATAAGAAAAAACAATTGCATTGTCTTATTTCAAGCGCATATTATCCAAGTATCTTATTTTAAGAGTAAAAAACTAATTCCACTGGCAAATCATCTTATTTACCTCCTCAAATTAAGGGTAAATACACTTGACCTAAGACATATTTGCTTATTTCTAGATCATTTTTGCAGTGTGATGCATTTCTTTGAGTAAAATAAAATAGGCTACTTACCCTGGTTAAGTTTCACATAAACAAAGTTCTGCATCTGTTGGAACAAACAAAGAAGGGATAAAAGTTAGTAAGAACCAGGGATCCGAATGGAAAACAAACAAAACTGAGCCTCTGATTAAAAACATAGTTTACCTTATAAGATGATGAAGAGGATGGATCACTGTTTCTCGAATAAGCCACATGAGATGCGGTGTCATGGAGCTCGGAGCGCAGCTCCTTTACCACCAGCATCCCCCAGACAGCCAGAGCTGCCACGGCCACGAACAGCATCAGGACGGAGATGCCAAGAAAAACGGTCACGCAGCTCCCACGCCGCCGCGCGCTGCTCTTCTGAGATTCAACGTCCACTTGATTGCTCTGCTGTTCCATTGATGGGCTGTTTTTCAGCTTCACTTGTGACACAAACCACCTAAAGTCACCAATGTAAGTTGTAAAAGTTGTTTAAAAACAAAACCCAAAGACTTCCAGCTGATGGGTCAGTTATCTCCACACAGTTAGTCCACGGCACCAGAGCGCAGTCAGAGAGTGGCGTTCTCTTGGACCTATCAAGCATTTTATAGCCTTCAGCACTTTCAGTCAGAGACAGAGAGAGGAAAAACACGGAAGTCATGGGTTTCCCTCCCGCCTCCACACACATCACCCCCCCCTGGTGTCGCTTTGGCTCTCAAGAGGTGAGAAAAGAAGACAAGCAGACTTTCCGCGGCTGTCCTCTCTGTTGCGCAAGTGCGCCTCAAAGAGAGAGCGGGTGCGGTGGAAAGCGAAAGGGACTGAGGAAGATAGAGACAGAAAAGTGCCATCCAAGGACTTTTTTTCTCCTTTTTTGTGCCAGACTACATTCCGTTGCAATCATATATAAACTCATGTAGGGGACCGCTCTTTCCAGGGGCCAAATATTAGTGGGAGACATGAAACATTAGACTTTGCCTTGTCATCAACACTTTCTCTTCCAGCCTGTTGTAACTCGTCCCTCTATCTGTAGGCAGACGGCAAGCAGGAATGTGCCCCCATAGCTCAAGATTTATTCTTATGATGGGAACTTTTCATCTTGGAATTTGATCAGGGCAAAAATCCCACCTCTTCCCACTATGAACACCCACTCATTCATACCGCTTCACCCAGACGACGTATTCAGGTTATTAAATTACAGTGGAAGTCATCCTAAAGGGAGACATACTTTAAAAAAATGCCATGTCTGTTTGCATGCTCTGACAGATGCATAGTATTTAAGACTAAAAACCACTGGAAGATAATTAAGAACATAAATTACCTTGCAGTAAGGAATGTTAAGAACTTTCCCAGAAACAAAAGTATAATCTCACATTCAATCATGCCTATTGGAAATTATGACTTATGAAATGATGACTTTTTACAAAAATGTCAGTCACACATATAGTCAGTGTGTGCCAATAATACTGTACTTATTCTTGTTGTACTATAGCTTCCTTTCCTTTATTACAAAAGATGTACTTATTCAGTTTACAGTAGGATACACAGACTTTGTTTGAAGAAATGTGTTTTCTTAATAGAACACATAAACCTTGGACAGATTCATGTGAAATCAAGTAAAAAAGGTACAGCTCATAAAGGACAGTGCTTGTTTTTCAGATAAATGGCATAGAAAGGTGTGCTGTGTGTTATTGATTTCATTTGGTTTAAAAGTCGTTGCACATACAACAAACTGAGGAACTGTAAAGAGATGGCGAGATGGTTAAAAAGCTACACAGGCTTAGAATTTGTTGGCTCTAAGAAAAAAGACATCTGAATGGAAATGATCCAGATATTTCTGGGTCCTCTTATGCACTTCATTGTCCTGCTTGCCTTACAGATTTAATGAAAGGACATCTGAGGACTGAGACAGCCATAGCCAATTGATTTGTTTTTGGTTTGGCCGTTATGATTAAATCTTTGTAAAAAAAAAAATAAATCTTTGTAGAAAGTGTTCAGCTGATTTCAAATTCATTTCTTCATTCATTTTGAAGAATTCAACAAGGATCTCACAGCCTTCTGCTTGAAAAAAAGGCCCATAGCATCACACATCCTACACCATGCTAAGCATGGGCATCATAGGAGAGACTTCCATCAAAACTGTCTTACTTTCAACAACTTGAAGGGAATTAAACAAGTGAAAAAGGTCTCCTCTCTGCCCCGGCACTATTCAGAGCACTATATTAGCACCTATATTAGCGCTATATTAGCACCTATATTAGCACGATTTTAAAAATTGACCCCCTGCCACCTTTGAAACCTGCCCAACACACAATAAAACAAAACAAAAAACTCAAAGCCTGTGGCAGGTTGAGTTTTGCATTATAATCCAAAGTTTGATTATTTTAAGAAGAATAATGTTTTAGTCACATTATTTTTGCAGAGATTGTTATAGGCACAAATAATTCTGCATCTGGAGATTTTGTAAAAGACAAATAACTCTTAAAATTGGATTGATTAGATGGTTTCAAATATTTGTTTTTTTAATGTATCTGCATGAAATTATAATGCTGCAATAAAATATAAACTTTTAAAACCTTTTAATAATTTATCTCATGGTGCCAATAAAGTCGCTATATAATAAATATATTCGTGAGAACATCATTTGGTTCCTCTTTTGCAGGTCATGAGTGAGGGAAATCACTTATTAGTTTAGCTCTGTGCAAATGGTTGAGGTTTCTGTTGTGAAAATAATTTATTATTGGTTGTGTAATTTAGAAGTTCCTTTGAAATGTACCTACTTTAATGAGAAAAAGGGCAAAAATCTTTCCTGTTTCCATTTTTATGTTAAAAAGAAAACTTCTTTTAGAAGTTATGGGAGAATTGTCTGCTGGATATTGTGTGGTGTACAAAGAAATCAATCACTCATTGTTTCTAAATATGGCTTAAATATTCTGATGTCACACTCAGCCATGAGTGTCAGACTCCAAAAATAGAACATGAAGTGAAGTTGGGCGCTGATTGGTCCGATACAGATATCACTTTGACCGGAACAAAACAGACCTGAAGCGAACATGTGACGACGACGAAATAACCCAAACAAGAAAACGTCAGAGGGAAATTCTGTTGTGTTGTCATAAGTCTTGTTTGAACAGACCATTACACAAATCTGCTCACGCCTTAGACTTTTTCACATTTTGCCACAATAATAGAAGCAAAACTTCCATGTTTGTTTTTGGGATTATATCTGATTTGTGTGTGAAGTGTGAAGCACTAGTTAGCTCTCAATTTCTTCTATAGATAATGATCTTAAATGTGCGTCATGCATTTTATTCAGCTCTGTTGAGTCATCACTTTGTAAAAACACCTAATTACTGCTGCAAGACTTCAGTCGGCAGTTTTGAAATTATTTTGCTTATTAAAATTTAAAAAAGAATTCAACCTCAGTCAGTTTATTTTTTTTTTCACAGATTCTTAATGCACTTTATGTCCATACTTTGACTGGGCCATTCTAACTCCTTTAATCGAGTCTGAACTAGGGCTGAAACTTACCATTATTTGGCTAATCGGTTAAACTTTCGATTACTTTTTACGATTAATCAATTAATAAACAGATAGCAAAAGGTTCCATAAAGAAGGCTTTTCACTAAATTAAACCAGGTGAAATTAAAAGTTTTCCACTTGAGGAATTCTGGATAGAGCATATTGACGAAAGAAAAACTTTTTTTTTTTTTTTTATCTTAAATTCAAAATGTTTACATTTTTTATTTTTTTTTATTTTGGTATAATCAAATAGGTCGCTATGTCAGCTGAAGACACATTTTAAAATATCTACACGTCAGTTAACTATTAATCTATTACTAAATTAGTTGACAATTATTTCAATAATTGATTTATCATGATTCGTCTGATTATTTGTTTAAGCCCTAATCTGAACCATCATATTGTGGCCCTAGATGTATGTTAAGTGTTGTTTTTTCTGGAAGCAGCGCCCCCACTCTAATTTCATGTATTTCTTTCCAGGATTGTCCTGCATTTAACTCAAGTCCATGATAAAAGGGGCTGAATAAAAATGTATGCAGCCCCTTTCATATTTGTAAAGAACATGAAAATCGTGAACAGTTTTCTTTCAGCTTTACAATGTTGCTCTGATTTGTGTTGATCTGCCAGTAAGATACATCAGTTTTTTTAATTATGTTTTCCCAAAGAAAGTGTAATGTGTTCAGCTTGCATGTGTTTCTATTAAAATATCAAGGCAATTCCTGTATAGAAAAAAAAAAGAAAACACACTTATGTGTTGTGATCTGACAAAAGGAATAGTTTTTCCTTTTTTTTTAACCTTTGACCTGGTTTAAACTCATTTAAGTTCAGTTGCCACCATTTTCCTTTATTTAAATCATCTTAAAGCAGGGTTCAAATCTTTGAAATAGGACAATTTCAGTGGTCAAACGTTTGAAGTTGTCTACAACTGCATCATGGGAAACATCAGTAATGAGGTTTTGGTTGATAAAAAGCATGGTGAGGTTGGTGAAGAAGAAAAAAACAGACAGCACATTAGTGAAATAGACACAGCTGTCCTCTCAGAAAAAGTGTGCTGGAAACAAGCTTACACATCCCTACACACACACACACACACACACACACACACACACACATAGGTTGGGGTTTGTGGTGACAAAATGTCACACTGCATCTTACAAAAACCTTTCCCAGACTATATTAAATGTGTGAGTGCACTCTGACGTTAGGGCTTATGATCATTTAAATATGTATTTAAATTAGATAATGGAGGAAAATATTTATATCAACTTTTCCTATTTGAAAGTTAAGAAACGTATTTTAGACAAAGCATTTCTTTCTCTAAAGGCGAAATTCAATTATGAGAGAAACTCAGCACCTTTCCCTCTGACCTATCAGCTGTTTATTTACTGATGTTTCTTCAGCAATTTTCTGAGGCGTTCGCATAACAACTCGATTTATAATGTGAATAACTACATACAGATGGAACATGATTCACTGAAAAACATAAAGTAACTGTTTCTGTCATTTACTTAAGCATATTTAGTTACTTAAACTTTTTTTTCATGTTAGCATGGTAGGACATAAACCTACGTAATCATAATATGTTTAAATAGATACCAAAAACGATTGCATTATTATTTTTTTGTGTTGCTGATTTTGCGATTGGACTTTTTATGGATATCAGAGAAGAGGGGACTGAATATGAACGCATGCCACACTTTGCAGAGCGAAAATTGATTTGCAAAGCCTTGTATCGCTTTTTTCTGTTTCTGTTCATAGAGGAAAACAGAAAGACATCACCAAAAAGAGAGCAAGTACTTTTCTAAACATGAAGTGAAAACCTAGACAGTAACTTCCCAGGGAAAATGCCCAGAGTATCACAATGTTGACAACAAATAGCGCATAATTTACTTTGTGAACCTAACCCCTTTAATACAAACCTGGAATCTATTATATTACAGTTTCTGCTCAGAGGAGTGATCCCCTGTGGGGGTTCAGCCAGAAGAACTGATAGATATGAATATATATTGTAGAAGGAGTCTCTGTAGTTGTTTGACCTTTCCTTTTTATCCTTCTTAATTGTTCTTAATTTTTTCATAGTTCAGTTTGTGGCCAAAATAAGTGTTTCTTGATAATATAGCTATCTCTTCTAAATTCATAGATAAAATAATCAAGCAGTTGACCAAGCTAA